ATCATAATTGTCTGATTGAGGCCGTTATCACTGTTTCATTACGACGACTACAAGGCAGCCAATGTTATTATCATAATTTCCATTATTAACATCAATATTGTAAACTAGTAGTAACCATCAAATTTTCCTATTTGAATTTTCTCTTGAATAATAATTCGTAAATGAATGATTAAATAAGTTTCTTGCGTTATTATGTTACTAGCAGTACATAGGAAAATTTCTCGATTTTCAGAGTTGATTATTCTGATCTATAATAAAATTTTATGAATAAATAAATACATTGTGGGTTCCAAATTTATGAAATATCCGTGGACATTCCCCTATAGCATCGTTAAATATTTGGGATTAATAACTTTAAGAAAATATTGCAATAACAATCATAAATATGAACGCTGGTCAAATTAGAACGATATCATTTTCTTTGTCTTCACACTGTTTTCGTTCTTTCTTTCCTTTATTCTTTCGGTTTGACTGTATCTTTCTTTTCTTCTTTCTGTCTTTCTTTCCTACTTTCTTTCTTTCTTTCTTTTTTCTTTTCTTTCTTTCTTTCTTTCCTTTATTCTTCCGGTTTAACTGTATCTTTCTTTCTTTCGTCCGATATAAATGTTTTTTTCTTTTTTCTTCTTTGTTTAATTGTATCTTCCTTTCATTCTTTTGGTTTAACTGTTTCTTTCTTTCCTTCTTTCCCTCTTTCTTTCTTTCTTTCTTTCTTTCTTCTTTTCTTTCTTTATTCTTTCTTTCTTTATCTTTCTTTTCTTTTCTTTCCTTCTCTTTCTCTTTCTTTCTTTCTTTCCTTTATTCTTTCGGTTTAACTGTATCTTTCTTTTCTTCTTTCTTTCCTTCTTTCTTTCTTTCTTTTTTCTTTCCTTTATTCTTTCGTTTTATCTGTATCTTTCTTTCTTTCCTTCTCTCTCTCTTTCTTTCTTTCTCTCTTTTATTCTTTCGGTTTAACTTTCTTTCTTTTTCTTTCTTTCCCTTTCTTTCTTTCTTTTCTTTCCTTTCTTTCTTTTATCTGTATCTTTCTTTCTTTCTTTCTTTCTTTCTTTCTTTCTCTCTTTTATTCTTTCGGTTTAACTGTATCTTTCTTTTCTTCTTTCTGTCTTTCTTTCCTTCTTTCTCTCTTTCTTTCTTTCTTTCTTTCGGTTTAACTGTATCTTTCTTTCTTTCGTCCGATATAACTGTTTCTTTCTTTTTTCTTTTTTGTTTAATTGTATCTTCGTTTCTTTCTTTTGGTTTAACAGTTTCTTTCTTTCCTTCTTTCTCTCTTTCTTTCTTTCTTTCCTTCTTTCTCTCTTTCTGTTTTCTTTCTTTCCTTTATTCTTTCGGGTTAACTGTATCTTTTTTTCTTCTTTCTGCTTTTCTTGCCTTCTTTCTCTTTTTTTCTTTCTTTCCTTTGTTTTTTCGGTTTAACTGTATCTTTCTTTTCTTCTTTCTGTCTTTCTCTCTTTCTTTCTCTCTTTCTTTCTTTCTTTCTTTCTTTCCTTTGTTTTTTCGGTTTAACTGTATCTTTCTTTTCTTCTTTCTTTCTTTCTTTCTTTCTTTCTTTTCTTTCTTTCTTTCTTTCCTTTAATTTTTCGGTTTAACTGTATCTTTTCTTTTTCTTTTTCTGTTTTCTTTTCTTTCTTTCTTTCTTTTCTTTGTTTTTTCGGTTTAACTGTATCTTTCTTTTCTTTCTTTCTTTTTTTCTCTTTTCTTTCTTTTTTCTTTTTTTTCCTTTGTTTTTCGGTTTTTCTGTTTCTTTCTTTTTTTCTTTCTGCTTTTCTTTCTTTCTCTCTTTCATTTTTTGCTTGATTTTTCAGTTCAACTGTATCTTTCCTTCCTTCTTTCTGTCTTACTTTCCTTCTTTTTCTCTTCCTTTCTTTCTTTTGGTTTAACTGTTTTTTTTTTTTCCTTCTTTCCTTTTTTCTTTCTTTCTTTCTTTCTTTCCTTATTTCTTTCGTTTAACTGTTTCTTTCTTTTATTCTTTTCTTTCTTTCTTTTTCTTTTTCTTTCTTTCTTTCTTTTTCTGTTTTCTTTCGTTAACTGTATATTTTTTTTTTTTCTTCTTTCTCACATTTTTTTTTTTTCTTTCTTTTTTCTTTTATTTTTTCGGTTTAACTTTATTCTTTCTTTCTTTCTTTTTTTTCTTTCTTTTTTTCTTTTCTTTCTTTCCTTTTATTCTTTCTTTAACTGTATCTTTCTTTTCTTTTTTCAGTGTTTCTTTCCTTTATTCTTTCGGTTTAACTGTATTTTCTTTTTCTTCTTTTTTTTTCTTTTTCTTTATTTGTTTCTTTTTTTCCTTTATTCTTTCAAACTTATCTTTCTTTTCTTGTTTCTGCTTTTCTTTCCTTCTTTCTTTTTCTTTCTTTCTTTCCTTTATTCTTTCGGTTTAACTGTATCTTTCTTTTCTTCTTTCTGTCTTTCTTTCCTTCTTTTTCTCTTTCTTTCTTTCTTTCTTTCTTTCTTTCTTTCGTTTATTCTTTCTGTTTTACTGTATCTTTCTTTCTTTCGTCCGATGTAATTTTTTCTTTCTTTTTTTTCTTTTTTGTTTAATTGTATCTTCCTTTCTTTTTTGTTTTAACTGTTTCTTTTTTTCTTTCTTTATTTCTGTTTAACTTAATTTTTATTTATTTATTTCTTCCTTTCTTTCCTCCTTCCTTCCTTCTTTCTGTCTTTTTTCTTTCTTTCTTTTATTTTCTCACTGAAAGCAATTAGCCTCTCTGTTATGCATTTCCATCTTTCCAAGAGATCAAAACGGAATAGTCCATCATTTATGCGTTATCGGCAGGGCATAAAGGTCGTGCTAACTAAAGCCGAATTATACTATGATAATGCCATCTGCTTCATTTGTACCTTCTTCAACGTCTACGCCTACAACTTCTGGGGGAAAAGTTATACCCCGAAAGGATCAAAAAATTAGAGAAAAAAATAGTCTATCTCAGCCAAGGCACCTTAGTCATTCTTAAAAATATATAGAACCTTATACAGTTAACCGAGATCACGTTCATTCTTTTCACTCTTTTTTTTAACATTCTCTTTCGGGATTACCATCAGCTGTCTAGTCGTATTATCCTAAAACGTTCCTTTCTACCGTTTGATGTTTGATCACAAAATGTTCTTTCTTAATATTTAGAAAAATGGAAAGTTAAATTCTCATGATGAGTTTATGACTATCTTTCAGAATATCTCTCTCAAGTTATTACAAGGAGTTTCTGGTTTTAGTCATAATATTCGTTTGAATTACTAATCCTGGGTATGACGATAAACAACATCCGGCAGCAAGACCTTTGATCAGGAGATTGGTGGTTTTGAAGAGCGTGAAACCACCTTTTACTTGATGTTGTTGTCAGGTGCATCATGACCCAAGCTGTTCGGGTCCCAGTTATGGGCAAAGAGTGAATCCCCAAACAAAAACAAAAAGACTATGAAAGTATAAAAATACATTTTTATTGTAAAAATACCAGCAATACATGTTTATATAAAGTTACCAAAAATACATAATTATAGTAAAATTACCAACGATACATTTTAATAGAATGACTGACAATATATTTTAACTGTAACTGAAGGCATGCAATCGCTTCAAAATAGTTAGATTTCGGGATTAAATAACTAATGGAGCTGTTGATATGCTGCTAAACAACGAACCGTTTGAATTGAAAGCACGTTAAAGTAAAGATACTTTTCCATAATTGGAATAGAAACGGATACAAAAATCATTCTTTCTTGTTGATTGCTTGGAATACAAAAATAAAACAGTTAAAGAGAGATTCAGGTTGATTGTAAACTGTTTTCAAATACTGAAAATGTTTGAAAGTTAAAAATTCAATTTTTATATAGGTTTTTAATTGGAATTTTCGAACTAGACCCTTTTTTTCGTTTTTATTTATTGTATAAAAAAAGAGAAAAAATGCTTAAAACAATACGTGACTAATATTTTTTAATCATATCATCCCAAGCAAGGTAGTAAAGCCGCTAAGTCACAAGAGCCTACTGAGTGCGAATGAATACGAAACAGAAACTTTACTAAGGGGCCGAGCATCATAGAAGCAATAAGACAGTAGATAACGAATGACATTGCATTTGAATCTTTGAAGATCAAATTTGGCTGAAAAGCAAGGAGCCGGAAAAGAGTTCTACAAGCAAGAAATGCGAGAAAAGAGACTGTTCGCTTAGAACTTATGGTGGCATCTAACCAATTCAACTATGAATTGATGACACATTGCCGCCAACTTAGTACTGCGCTTAAATTCTTCATACCATAGTGAAGAGTTCAGAACAATTATTATGAAAGTATTTATAGAAAAGACACATGGAAAGTGACTTGAGCCGAGACGCCAGATCAGAGCCAATAATATTACTGATCCTTCTTTGGATCTTATCAGGAATCTTTAAATATACAGAAGGATCGCTTGATCATATGTGGCAGCAATATTCTAAACATAACTAAAGGATATATGTAATTTTTAAGTGTTTGAAAAGCCACAAAATACTAATGATGTGACAAAGCTCTAAAGTAATATCGGAAGTTTAAGTTTGTTTCCGGGGGTGGGCCTACTTTTAGAGGTCCTGAAGCTTGAATAGATATGGGGGAACTTTTGCAACAACAGATGTAACTGTCAAAATGTATGCTGTAAACAGATTTTAGCAAGCTGAACGACCCCATAAAAAAGTGGTGTTCGGGCGCCGCAAACCCCAAGAAAATTATGAAATTTGAGCAATTAGAGGGGAATTTTAAGGCCATATAAAATGGGTATTAGAACATATTCTAAGATCAGCACTAGCTACTTCAACCCATTGGTTTATGATCTTATCACTAAATTAAAAGGACTTAAAAAACGTCTAGTTTGTTTAAAAATTCACTCATTAAAAGAATACCCCAGGGTCCATTCTGGGATTAGGGGGCCCATTGCGATTAAGGGGATTTATAGGACCTGACATACGTACTCTATTATTAATAGACTCTCCCACACATAATAAGTAGTAGTAGCGGTCGCCAGTTGGGCTCAGTGATGTTGAGAGAGTCAGTCGATGTCGGACATTGAAGTATCAACCATCACAACTAGACTGCTGCGTCATTAACTCTTATTTCAAGTTCCTAACGTTTTGTACGTTGAACCTAATTTAGGACGACTTATTGAAATACAAGCCTCCACTGTGAAAACTACTCTACAACACTCTGGGATTATGAACCCTGAAGCATAAGCTTTATTAGTTTCATAGTATATCCACCGCTGCACGTTTCAAATGCAATTTTGGTATTGGACTGTGTTGAGGACTGACAAGGCTCGCAAAAGAAAAATAATTAAAAACCTGCTTGGGATGCCGGGAAAGAGGAAGTGTCATTGTCAAGAAACTTATAGACATCATGTTCCTGCAGTTCCGGTCATTTTCTTCTTCAACTGGCGAAGAAGTCCGATGTAATTTTCTTCCTTTCTCTGCTACCACGGTACAGCATTTTTATAATGAAGGGGTTTTCTTAAGGAATATATAAGTTAAATTAAGATTGGTTGATTATCTGGAAAATTTTTTTTTTTTTTTAAATTATATTATCTTATCTTTAATTACTTTTGCGTAGCACTATATATATATATATATATATATATATATATATATATATATTTAATATTTTTTCTTATAGACAAAAAGTGTTTACTCACTACAAAGATGCAACTTCGTTACTGTGCATTTCAATTCTATATGAAAAAAAATTATATATTATTATCCTCTTTTGAATTAATCCTGTGAAAGTTAGAATTTATATATTATTTTCGTTCCCATTGCATCATATATATATATATATATATATATATATATATATATATATATATATATGTGTGTGTGTGTGTGTGTGTGTGTGTATAAAAGTATATAAATATAAATAAATATATATATATATAATAATTTTTATATATTATATGCATGAGTACTTATTAGAAAGCGCTCAATATCAGAGATAAAGCTAACATATTTGGTTAGATTGATGTGAGTTTGTAACTCTGGGTTTCACGCTTTTGCGATATATATATATATATATATATATATATATATATATATATATATATATATATATATATATATATATTATAATTTTTATCATATAGGCAAAAACATTTTACTCAATACAAAGATGCAACTTCGTTTCAATGCATTTCAATTGCACCTCGACTGGTTGCATCTTTGTAGTGAGTAAACTGTTTTTGTTTATATGATACAATTATAATAAATAATTATTGCTCTACTATCGGTATCAAGCCCTCCTTTGAATTAATGCTGTGGACGTTAGAATTTATATATTATTTTCAATAATGTTCTCAATGCATTGGGTATATATATATATATATATATATATATATTATCACTTTAAACATTATTTTTGTGGAGGCACGTATTCGAGTGGACGCTCTGTTTTTTTATTAAACGGTATATTTATTTTCGTCAACACTCCTGGATAATCGAGAAATCGATTTAAAGAAAAAGATACGTCCTCACAAAAAAAAGAAAGAAAGAAAAAAGTTGCTTCCCCCCAAAAAAAGAAAGAAAAAAAGAAAAAAGTTACGTCCCCAAATAAGAAAAACGAGATTAAGAAAATGAGAAATTTCATAAAAAAAGAACAAAGAAAGAAAGAAAAAAAAAAAGAGAAAAAAAAAACAAATCAAATAACAAAGAAAAAAGAAAAAGAAAAAAGAATTGGAAGAACAAATGAACAAAGAAAAAGAAAAAAGAAAGAATTTCAAATAAAAAAGAACAAAGAAAAAGAAAGAATGAAAAATAAAGAAAGAAAGAAAAAAAGAAAGAATGAAAAAATGGAAGAGAGAAAAAAGAAACAAATAAAAAAGAACAAAGAAAGAAAGAAAAAAAGAAAGAATGAAAAAAAATAAAAAATAATAAATAAAAAAAGAACAAAAGAAAGAAACAAAAAAAAGAAAAAAAGAAAAAATGAAGAAAAAAAAAAATAAAAAAAAAAAGAAATAAAGAAAGAAAAAGAAAGAAAGAAAAAAAAGAAGAAGAAAGAAATGAATAAAAAATAAATAACAATAAAAAATAAAAAAGATAAATGAATAAAAAAAAAAGAAAAATGCGAAAATAAAATGTAATCTAATAAATAAATAAATAAAGCAAGAAAAAAAAATGAAAAGGTGTAACTAAAACCCTTATAAAACCGTTCTTAATCAAATAAACGGATTATCCTCGGAAGGTGACTTAATCTGTCTACCGTGTCTCGAGGTTGTTCGATGGCGATGTTTGGCTTTACATTTAGAATCAATTTTATTAACATGAGTTCACAATGAAAAGAAAGTCATTTAACAATTTAAGAGTTCTGGTTTTCAAAAATAAACCAATTCTCTACTTGTGACCTAATATGTTAACTATAACATACCATTAACGACACTCTAACAATAATAATAATAACAATAGATAATTAAGCTTTGCGACAATTAGAATTTATAATATTCATTACATTAGTCAGTTCAGTGCCGTACGTGATACACGTTTGGGCGATCTTGTCTCTTTCGATTC